AGGACTGAAATAACAACAGTGAGGCTTTTAGAACATTTAACATACTGTATATTAACTTACTTTGGTTTCTTCATTGCCAAGTTCAGCATAACAACTTGCTCATCAAGCTCCCTAACAGAAAGACAAACATTCAGGGAAGGATTCATATTTCCAGGCAGGTTAATTTACGACTCATAAATGGTCTTACTGTCGGAGGCAGGAGATGAAAGGTTGGTCCAGGATTTCATCAGCTGTTGGCCTCTTTGCAGGATCCTGCAACACAAAACACATGATTATCAAAGAGGCACTATTTTTACCCAAGACTGTTTATTATTAGAGACGATTCACAATAAGACTGATTATTCCCCTCGCTCACCTGATTAAGGCACTCGTACACTAACTGGATCAATCCACTAGTGTAACAATCTGTGTTCACATCCATAGTCCAGTTTCCTTGGACGATTTTAACACAGAGGTTTAAAGGGTTCTATTTAGACACAAAAAGAAAAAAAATTATAATAGTAGGAAGTTAATTTCTTGCATAAAATTCAATAAGTCACATTCAACCAATGAAACCCACCGTGGCATCAAAAGTCTTTCTAAGAGTCAAGACTTCAAAGAGGACACAACCCATGGCCCAAATGTCTGACTTGAAGTTGTACTTTGCACCCTGGCACAGTTCAGGTGACATGTAATAAGGAGTTCCCACACACTGCAGACAGCATGAAGAAGGAGACAGAGTTATCTTAAGACATCGTACAGTGTTTGTTTTAATAATGCCAGAGGTAAACTCAGAAGGTACGATACAGAAATTAAGTTGAACAAATGTTTGAGGATTGAGAGGGACTCACTGTTTCTGCCATTGAAAACTCAGAGTCTAGCTTCTTTGCAAGGCCATAATCTCCCAGTTTCATGAGGTTGGTTTTTGTTAGGAAAATGTTCAGAGTTTTGATGTCTCTAAAAGAAAAACAGACCAAATAAACATACATCTGTCATTTGTTGTGGCTTATGAAAATAACTTTTTAACATTTTGCGGCATCACAACCACAAACTTAAAGGTATTTTTATTTGGATTTTATGGAATAGACCGACACAAAGTAGTAGATTACATATAAGAAAGTAATGGCTTCTAAAGGTTTTAGAAATAAAAACCTGAAAAATATTATTTCCATTTGTATTCAGTCCTCTGTGAATATCTCCTTAGAAATCACTAATGAGGTAATGGAATCCAATTTACATCTTTGTGTAATTTCATATCCTCATAAATTTAGCTGTTCCATAGAGATGTTTTAAACACTGTGACATTATAAAGCAACATCTCAAACTTTTCAGATCTAACTGAGCACTGTTTAATCTATCATCTAAGAATTGAAACAATGTGGTACATTTTCAAAACTACAAAAACACAGCCAAGCAGGCCAGGAAAGAAAAGCATAAAGGAGAAGCAGCCAACTGATTTAAAATAACTCGAGAAGAGCTGCAGTGATTCATAGCTCAGGTGCAAGAATATATCAATACAACTATTACAGTTGTTGAAAAAAGCTACATGAAGAGCTTTTGCAGTTCACTGCTATTTGTGTTTCTCAAAGAATATGCTAAACAAGAACGGGACTTTTTGGTCCTGAGGCAGAATGCAGGAAGACAGGAAGCAGACATTGCACATCACACTGAACAAGATTCCCTAAACGACTTTAGTCAAATTCTCTTGTCTTAATTCTGCTTACATTGTACAATTTCAGATTGTTAAACCGCCTAATTGTTTATCCCATAGGGCGGTTATTGTCTTTGCACGGGATGCTTCTTTTAAATTTACTGTGATGCACTGAGCAAAAAAAAAAAAAGAAGAAAAAATGAAAATATGATTAAGATGTACAATGTTATAATATCAGGTTTCAATTCGAACAAGAGAGAATCAATCAGCCTATGTACAAAAACAAAGGTAGCTGTACAATCCGATGTCAGGATTAACTTCCATTCCACCTTTATTTATAAAATCTCTTGAGAAACAAAAACCTTGCTACTTTGTGTCAGTCTACCAAATAAAACCCCACTGCAGTACATTGCAATTTGGTTTTGAAACAAACAGGATGTGAAAATCTTTGAGAAATAATAATTTTGCAAGCGACTGAGATAAAGTGTTTCAAGCAAACACATGTCCTGTAAGATCCTCTCAATAACAATAACATCTTACCTGTGTATGACCCCAGCCTTGTGAATGTAGGCCACTGCTGAAGTGATTTGGTACAAGTACCATATAACAATCTTCAGAAACATTAAGGAGATTAATAACATAATCACAAATATCTGTATTTGAAATGAACAAACAAAAAATGATGATCCTGCACCTCTTCGGAGAAAAGTTTTCCTTTCTGCTGGATGATTTTGTCATTCAGATTTCCTCCTGTGAGGAAAAAAAGCTCTTTAGGATTCTCTTTTTAAACTAATTCACAGAGCGAACAAAAAAACTTTATTTTTTACCATTGCAGTACTCCATCTCAATCAGCAGAGTGTTTTTATCCATGAAGTGATTGAAGTACGCTATGATGTTGTTGTGCTCCAGCATGGAGAGGATGCTTATTTCATTCATGACATCTCGGCGCGTCTTTTCTGAGAGCGAGTTCAGGTCCACCTCTTTCCACACAACTAGGGAGTTATCCTGCAAACAAAACACAGTTATCCTGCAACAAAATGGCTGAAACAAATGTTGGTCATTTTTACTCAGAGTGCAGAATAAGACTAAAAAGAAACACGAGAGGATAAAACTCTAACGTGTCTGATGACAACGATAAAAAAAATAAAATAATATTTTTATAGCATGAACAATGCTCATTTATATGCTTAATCCTTGGAATGTTGATTGCCTTGTTCTTGTTAATGTTCTTCAACATACCACTGACATCATCACAGAAAAGCAGAATTTATACTGAGACTAGTAAGGCATGTGGACTCTACTCATCAGGTGACTTCTCAAGACAAATTGTTGCAATGATCTGCATTTAACTGTATCAGAGAAACAAGGATTGCATACAAATTCTTTTAAAAATACTGTAATTCCAGAAGGAATACAGATGCTGCAATTCATATTATACAATTTTTCACACAGAGTTGATGCAGATGCTATTGGCAGGAAGGATCTCTTGTAGTGGTCTGTATGACAGCAACCTCTTGCTGAAGATTATTGGATATCAGTATCAGGAAGAGGATCCTCAGCGTTTTCTCTCATTTTCTTGATATTATTTCACAATGATCTGAGTAGTCCCCAAAACAGAACCAGATTTATTTACCAGGTTGTTTAGTATTTTAACCCCCTGACTCACAGGAGCACCATGTGTTCAGATATTTAATTACTAATATTTTAATCCACTCCTTCCAGTTCACAATTATGTACTAATAATTATGCACAAAACTCCAATAAAGTGCATTTAAGTGTGTGTCTATAAATTGTCGACATGTGAAAACATGTTAGAGGAAAAAGTACTTCAGAAAGAATGTTGGTGTAAATCAGCTTTAACCTACGTACCTCTGTTCTTCTGTACAGAGTAGCTTCACCAAACGCCCCCTTTCCGAGGATCCTGATAGGAATGTAATGCAGTTTCTCCTCCTCGCCATTAAATGTGCCTGAAGCTGATCGCTCGCTGACCACAGAGCCGCCGCCTAAATCCGAGTTTAGCGAGTCGAAATGTCTCTCATAGTCCTCCAGAGACATTTCTACTGGGGGATTTGTTAACTAGACAGAGGGGAGGAAATAGCCCGACAAGGCCTAACGACAACACTTCATGAAATACTCATATGAAAGTGCGCGGGTTTGTACCATATTAGCCCTTTTCGACCACAAGAAGAAGCTGCTTGACCAAAAAACACGACCAGATTCCTCCAAGCCGCATGTAACACACACGACCGCAAATAGATATCGCAGCCAAATGAGTGCAAACTACATTAGTCACACAAACATCAAGTACAACACATTATGGTGAAGACGCTCGGTTAACTTTTCATTCGGTTCCCAAAATAAAGTATTCCAACTTACAATGCGTTATGAAGTATTTTACTGTGAAAGTAACAAGAGATAATTTCCGGTTAAGATTCTAACGGTTAGCTTGATTTTTGCTAATCTGTTAGCGATGATGACAACCTTCAGCTGAAATTAACACTTTTTAAAACTGCCAATGGATTGTTATTCTACTCTAGGAAGCAAACTTTACATGTCAACTTCAAACATCGAAGGGAAACTGAGTAAAAGATATCTTGGGAAACTTATCTTGGGCAACTACTGCGTCACTTCCCAAAGCACCGGAAACGATATTAAATGTAATTAATTTTTTGTTTTAAAAGCTTGCGTTCGAGTATTTTTATTTTTTGTGATCAGAAAATGAATCAGCGGAGACATAAATGTCTTTTTATGCTTGAAGAAGCATAGCGAGAAGAAAAATCTTTTTTTTTTTTTTTTTGCGCATGTAGGCTCCTAATTCTGCAGCCATCAAGAATATGACTGTAGGTAGCGCTGTTTTCTCTGTACAACTCAAAGGTGAACACCATCGTCTATGTTTGCACCACAAATACATGTTTTGAAAAAATTAACTTATTCAAAATTATATGGCAGAGAATAAGGCTCTAACAGGGAACTTTAGGTAACACATTTTTTGTGATAATAGCTGTTTGGTGAATTAAACTTTAATAAACAGTCTCTCTGTATTCTAAGTTTATTATTTTAAACATAAAACTAAAATCAACCTTAAATTTCTACTAAATATATATATTTAATTAAAAGCAGCTAGTATTTGAATAATATAACCCCTTTCCGTTATGTTTTTTTTTTTTACTGGTTGCTGATAAGAAAATTCTGTTAACAGAACATTCATGAATCAGTCAGTAAATTCCATCCATATTTCACGTTTTTGAACTGGGTCGGGATAGAAAAAATTATATCCACCCTCTTTTATGACTGTGCTTCCACTGCTAGTGTGCATAAAAAAGGAAGAACAGATACATATTAGTCAGTACCGTTCTCTGACAGTTTAGTC